ACCTTGTGCCGATGGTGATGCTGATGATGCTGCCGATGCACTGCCTGCTGTTGCTGGAGCTGCTGATGGTGGTGCTGCTGCTGCATCCTGTTCAGGAGGGTCAACAGGTCGGAAACGACAACCATGTGTTCGCGTATGAGGTACTCCTGAAACTGCTCCAACCTGGCAGCGTTTGCATGCCCAGTTGATCTGAATCGAAGTGGAATGCATATGCTTTACCATGTCCTGGACCAAGGCCCTGCATAGATTTGCTGGATAGATCGCTGCAAGAGCTGTCCGTTTCCTGCCTTGATCGTTTGCACCCTGAAGATTTGCGTGTTGTCCTGTGCACTTGCAGGACCTGGACGTGCCCTTCAGCCGAGCTGTGCTCTTGAAGATTGTCCTCTTGCGGATGAGCATATTCAGGTCGGTACTCCAGGCTCCATGTGCACATTGATCCGTGACGTTGTCATGTAGTTCATGGTCTTTCTGCATCACGGCGTTTCTCGAGCTCTATCGGCTCTGCATTGTTGTTTGACTGAGACCAGGGCCGACAGTAGAACTCTAGCATTGAAAACAGAGGTTGAAATTCCTGATACAACTCCATCATGAGTCCCTGATGATCGGTCCGATGAAGGTCCCATCCATATCGATAGTCCAGTGGTGGAAGAACAATATAATGTTGACGAAAAGTAGCACAAGATACTCCAGACGTGCCTGCAATGACTTCGAACATCAGGACCTTCTTCGAGAGCACCGGAGACATGTGTCGAATAAAGTCTCGAACATGTTCGGGTCGGATCACTGGCAGTCTCGAAGTGGAATAGAACTTCTCCGTCATGATCTCATACTCCTTGGCCATCCGATGGCATTCGGTGTGCTCGAAGTGATTCGGCCACTCGTCCTCAACGTATCGTGTGCTGCCAAAGCTTCTCCATCTGTCGTACAACTCCTTCGCGTCGTGATTGTGGAATACTCCATAGACTTGCTTGCTTGAAGTATTGTCTGCAGATGAAGGTGTCCGCGGCGGCGCCGCAGAGGTCGTGACCAGTCTCTGTAACTCACTCTGATTCTGCGCTTCGGGGTGATACTCTGAACTGGTCGTCATCAACTGCACTCTTGGTCGTTTCGTGCGAGAGAATGTTGCATATAATTTCCCAATTCGCATCTCGATCAAGTCCATCATTTCCTTTGCTGTTGCTGCCGTTTGCGTCTTCATGTTGTCTACAGGGAGCAAGTAGTGACCTGAGTCTGTCAGGAGAGCCCTGGACATAGCGGGAAGCTTGTTGTCAGGGGTAAAGGCCAGGATTCCATCGCCATTGTCGTACATATTCTCGAACAAAATGCACTTCTGCTTGAACGTTGTGCTGTTCGGAAGAAGTCCAGGGCATCTCGAACCAGGTCCACCGATGAGGTCGGCTCGATATGTAGTGCCTCTTTCCATTCCTTCTACCAGAATAGGTCCTAGGAAGCTGCCACACGAGGGATCTGGTTGTCCATTGATACCTGTAAATGATGCATTTGATGTTTCCAGCAGGTAAGAAAGACCACGCTTGTTGTAAGCATCTGTCTTCCACTCCAGTAGTGTCTCCGTGCCAAGAAGTCCTTCTGCTGCTCCAGGGTCAATGATGAGCCCATGCGGAGGACGTCCTTTGATTGGGTGTAGTATCAGATATGGATCATCCACTGATTTGTTCTGCTTGTATGTCTGTGGATATAAATGTGTATTTCCATTTGAGCTTGCTATCCGGCAATCGGATGACAGCCATGCCGAGCGTGAGACCGGTGAAGGCCAATCTGTGTGAATGAAAACCTCACCAGATGAACGGCTGGCCTGATCCTGCATGGTGACATCTGATTCATGGCGTCCATCACTCTAACCATTGAACATCACAACCAGGGCGCGCTGCTTTGCCAACTTCTGAGCCAATGTGAGCGTCGGTTGATCCACACCTCTGCTGCTTGCTGCTCCTGATGATAGTACATCTCTCAGCGGTGCCCGCGTTCTGGCTGTCGATGCTGGCGATGAGAATAGAGGCTCAGGTCGAAGAGCGGGTCGTGCCGGAGATACTGCCTGTGGAAGTTCTACATATGGTGTCTCTGGGATGTCCATCTGATCCAATTGATAGTATTCTGTCTCTCGTGTCACTGCAATCGCACTTGCTGTAGAGCCAACTTGCTCGGGAGATTCCGGTCTCAAATCAATCCATGATCCAGGAGGTCGCGTCGTCATCATTGTTGGTGCCGCTGATGGAGCTGTCGAGAAGGCTGTGACGTTGGCATAATGACGTGCCTTGCCCTCGAATCCTTTGCCTTGTCCATTGCATTTCTGCTGCTTACTTGTCCATGCTGATTGTGCTGAGGCTGCCCATGACTTTGACCTTGCGCTGGACAAGACGATGCTGTATGCCATTTGCTTCCACAGATAGTGCAGCCTCAGCTTTCTGACCATGTCCTCCGAAACGATCGTAGAGACTGCCGCCATGACCTCTACCGTTTCCAGAACTACATTTGCCTTTGCCCTTGCTGAATTTCCGGCGGTAGCCCTTGCCTTTGCTTTTACCTTTGCGGCGGCTTCGACCTGTATTTTTGCCGTAGTAAGTCTCCCGTGATTCTTCGTCTCCGTCATAATATTCTGTCAGGTTGCCCTCACCGTGGTACTTGGCCCAGACATCTTCATATTCTTGAAAATACCAGTCTCCATCATAGGTGGCCGTCCAGCCGTAGTCCTGATCATAGCCCCACTCGTACATGTCGTCGTAGTAGGCCTCATACCAGTCGTCTTCGTCATCCTCATCTCCGTCATTGTACCAGGCCCACTCGTGATGAGAGTTCACCTGGTCCTGCTTTCCGAGGCGCATCTTGAGCTGCATCAGAGTACTATATTGATTCAAATCTCCTGCCACGTCAAGCAGGCCAATTCAGATCATCTAGCCTTTTGTCATGCAGGCCGCAATTCTTCAGAAGAAACTGCGACTTGCCTACGTCATTCATGACCAGGCCTCCTTCTTCGCACGCATCCTCGTAGGCCAATTCGAAAGATGCAATCCATGTTGGAATGTCAGTGTGTGCTCCACGTCGGCAATCGAAGAAACCGTCCAAAACAACTCCAACTCTATCTTGATCGTGTAGCTCATAGATCGCCTTCTGCTGATTCAGAAAGATCTTGATGCCCGGCAGCTGCGCCTCAATGCCTGCTTCAGGGTCCTCTGGTACAGGAGGAAGTGCCACCGCTTCGTCGCCTCGATAGTGAATGCCATCCCTGATGATAGTGAACGACATAGCTGCGGTGAAAGGAGTCCCCTGCAATCTGCTGACTATGAGGGGCCCGATTCTGTCGTAGGAGTTCTCGTCTGTAATCCTCCACCACAGCTTGAGCTTCTGCTGGTACCGCCGAAATGTATATCCTTTGATGTGGGGCCGCCATCCTGGCGGCACGTACTTTGTGAACTCTTCCAGGTTGAGGTTGCCATGCTGGCTGCTGTTCTGCTGCTGGTGCGCCATGGCGGCGCTTATAAAAAAAACAGGTGAAAAAAGAAGATGAAGTTCATGGAGAACTTCCAGTCCGTGAAGATATGTTGGCGTGATCGCCTTGATGTAGTTGATGAGCTCGGGGCTCCTGATGCACTCTGTCTCGTGCTGAAGCCCCTCGACTGTGAAGTCGTTGTCCGTCGGCTGGAGGTAGCCGAACACGTAGTTGCCTGCGGAGGCGCGAGCGCACCGATGGGCGCGCGAGGGGGGCCGGCCGACCGGGGGCCCGCAGAGCGATGAATCGCTCCGCTACCAAAGCGAGCTTCTGGTAACCTTGAGCCACAATATGTTTACGTCGATGCGACTATAAAAAGCTCAGCAGCTTGATAGAGCTTGCGTCCAGCGTGGCGACTAAAAGAAGCCTCTGAAGATCTCTGAAGAGGCTCTGCATCCTCCCAACGATACAGCTGCACTGGGGTAAAACTCACTTCCTCCTCCTCCTCCTCCTCCTCCCCCTCCTCCTCCCCCTCCTCCTCCTGCCTCCTCCTGCCTCCTCCTGCCTCCTCCTCCTGCCTCCTCCTCCCTCCTCCTCCTCCCTCCTCCTCCTCCCTCCTGCCTCCCTCCTCCCTCCTCCTCCTCCTCCCTCCTCCTCCTCCTCCTCCTCCTCCTCCTCCTCCTCCTCCTCCTCCTCCTCCCCCTCCTCCTCCTCCTCCTGCCTCCCTCCTCCTCCTCCTCCTCCTCCTCCTCCCTCCTCTCCTCCTCCTCCTCCTCCTCCTCCTCCTCCTCCTCCTCTTCCTCCCTCCTCCTCCTCCTCCTCCTCCTCCTCCTCCCCCTCCCCCTCCTCCACAATTATTCAATATGAAAATACTCTCCCTCTTCCCCTGATGGCGTCCGGGTGATGGCCGCGCACCCTCCGCGTACTGTTTTTTTACACACAGGATTCCCGGGAAATCCCGGGAAACGACTCTCGCTGAGGCGCCGGCGTCATTTTTTCCCAAAATGCTGCTCTCGTTGAGGCGCCGGCCTCATTTCTGCTCCCGAATCGTTCCGAATCGTGCTCCCGCTGCAGCGTGGGCCTCATTTTCGGATCGGTGTTTGGCCTCCGTCGTTCAGGATGGCGTTCTCGCCCCAGCGCGGGCCTTTTTCTCGCGCGCCCATCCGCCCGCCACCACCGCGCCGCACCGCCACCACCACCACCACCACCACCACCACCACCACCACCAGTACCAACACCACCACCAGCACCACCACCACCACCACCACCACCACCACCACCACCACCACCACCACCACCACCACCACCACCACCACCACCACGACAACCACGCACACACGCACGCACGCACGCACGTGCACCACCACCCACTACGCACGCGCGCGCGGAGCCACAGGTCCGCTACGACACGCGTCCGCGGATAGAGAAAATCAGCGCCATGGTAAGGGATGGGAGGGAGGGGTAGGACGTCAGATATGACGCGAGCGCACCTAGCTTGTCCCCCTCCCCCTCCCCCTCCTCCTCCCCCTCTTTCCGTTTTCGCAAAGCCCCCGAGGTTTGGTCGCGGCCACCGGCTCAGGACACCCGAGGCTCGGCGGCGCGCAAAGGCCCCGGCCTCCCCCGTGCCCCGCGCGAGCGTGCCGTCCCGGCGGGCGGCCGCGCCTCGGGGGAGGGCTTTGTCTGTTGGCTCCCCCGGGCCGTCAACCCAAAGCGGCCTGGGATGGGGAGCGGGGCCCCTCTGGGGGAGGGATCGACAGGGGGCCCCGCATGGATCAAGCAGTGGCGAAGCTCCCTGGCTCGCCCATAGGCCTACCAAGCAATGTTCCAAGGACCTTTCGTGGTTTCCACGAGGTGTGATTATTTGAGCATTTCTGACCGGGACTGTCTTGTTTTAACACATCGGGCTGATGTTCTAAGAACACCTTTTTATTATGACATTTTTGGGTTCTAAGAACATGTCGTGGTAGACCTATAGGAATGCCAGGACGGTCGGTCCCTGCTCAAGTGGAAGGCATAGGGGCGTCGAAGATGTCTTGGGGAGGGGGCAGTCAGGGAGGCCCAGGACGAAGGTGGCAGGCAGCATCGGTAGATGGGTTTCGCCTCCCGTGGCTGCCAAAAGCGGCCTGGTATGCTCACATTGTGTCCTGAATGCGCCTTGGAATGGCCAAGGCACCAGATGTATCCTCCAGGCCCGCTGGCTTCCCCGTATCCCGAGTTGTTTCTGCCGATGGCGTCTTCTTTTCATGCTTCGTCTTATTTGCATTATTGTTCAACAAGTTCGTCTTAGTTGACCTGGTACGCCCGCGTTCAAGTGCAAACCGTCCCGTATTCAAAACGTCCGTGTCAAAACGTTGCGTGTTGGCTCGGCACGTGCTGGTCCACGTTTTGGCAACGTGTCGCGCGGGGGCCGTTGCGGGGGGTCGTTAGCAACCCACTGGGGCTTTGTATGTCCTCGAACCTCCGTCTTTGGAGTGCATTCGTGTGCGCTGGCGTCTGGTCGTCGATGAGAAGGCGCCGACTTAGCGCCGATTCGCTCCGATTCGCGTCGGTTAGCGCAGGTCAGCGTCGGCTCGCAGGAGCCAGCCAGACGGCATTGGGGGGCTCCCGTGAGGATTCCTCCCGCCGTCGCCCTAGGCGGGGTCGGGGCGGCCTCCCCGAGAAGGTCCGCGCACGCCAGCAGCCCTCCGCCCTCTTGGCACACGCGCCCCACTCACCCTGTGCCCCCCCCCCCCTCGCAGCCGCCGCAGAGGAAAACGGGCCCCTCGTGCGGGACATGGATCCTTAGGTTTGTCCTGAGCACAGGGGGCCGAATGCAAGCATCGAGATTTTGAGCGACGCGCGGGTTTCTTGGATCTGCGCTGGAAACCCTTAGCGGCGCCTCTGGCGCTCCTTGCACGCTCCGCGCGCTAGGGAGGGAGGCTCAGCGCCGATCCTAGAAATCCGCTCAGATTTCCATAAGTTCATGTTCATGCAGCTGGTCCGTCTTCGAGATCAGTGTGTTGTCGCCCCAGGGGCCCGGGCTCTGGAGAACCCCAGGCGCGCAGGACTGTTTCCGGGACCCGCCTCCCTCGCGCCAACCGCTGCGACCCGCCGAGAGGCACGCTCCAAGAGCGGCGGCGGCGGCATGCCGGACCCCGACGCCCCCTTCGTCGTGTGACCGCCGAGGGGGCCGACGGGGCGCTCCCGAGCGACAGAGCCGCCCAGCGCTCTGCTGCTGCCGCCCCCTCCCGGCCCCTGGCGCATCGGCGCCGGCCTGGAGGAGGGCTTCCACCTCCCGCGCCCCGTCCTGCTGCTCACCTCCTCCTCTTCCTCCGCCCCTTCCTCCGCCTCAGCTCTCTCGCCCTCCGCCTCCCCCGTGAGTCGTCCAGGGGACCTTTTTTGAGTACGTGGCGCGCTCGCCTCTGTGCTATGCCTGCCCCAGGCCCTGCCAGCACGGGTCCCCGGGCCCCTCCTGGACTCCATCCTGGCTGGTCTCTCGAGCTGCGTCCAGCCGTGGAAGCGCACGGAAGCCTCCAGAGCTTCCAGCGCACTGATCGGCGGCGCGCCCTGGGGGGGAGATGCCGCGGGGGCGGGCCTCCTCGGGAGGTCCGGAGGGCCTCGGGGCTCTCTGAGAAGTTCCCGATGCCTCCCCCGAAGGCACAGGCGTGTTCTCAGAAGGCGCGAGGGCGTCTGAGAAGCCCTGCTGCCTTCAAGAAGGCCTGCGCCATCTTACCCCTTCCCCCCCTCGGGGCTCGCAGCCGAGTTGCTCCCCTAGCCCCCCATCCCACCCATCCTTGATTCTCGACCTTCGATCCCCCCATCCTCGGTCCCCGCCTCCCTCGATCCTCGATCCTCGAGCCTTCTCGATCCTCCCCCTCCCGCCGACGGAGGGGGGGCAGGCCGCACATCCCGGCGGCACTCCCTGAAGGGAGCGCGCTGGCGCCCAGCAGCCCCACTGCGGCAGCGCGCACCGCGGCGGCAGCGGCCGCGGATGCCTTGTCGGTGGGAAACATAGGGAGGGCTTCTTAGGTGTGCCACGTATGAGCGAGAGTCCGAAGGAGAACACACGCCAAAGGGTTATGTGCGTGATGTTGTTTCTTCTTCTAGAGGGGCTCCATAGGTGAGCTATGATCGAGAGTCAGATTAAGCAGGAGTTGCTGTCTTCACTGGCTATTGACCTTCGATATTTCTGAGCAGATGTCGCGAGTAGGCGATAGCAGGCGCAAGTTGATAGTGATAGCCGCCGATCGCCCCGCATAATCCAACGGCCCTGGGAGGAGAATACGGCGACGATTTGACGCCGCGAGATGAAATTGGAGGCGTTCCGCGGTGAGAAAGGGAGGAAAAGGATACAGAGTATGGAGGAGGAGGAGGAGGAGGAGGAGGAGGAAGGAGACAGGAGGAAGGAGAAGGCAGTCAGAAGGGGGTAGGAGGAAGGAGGAATGAAGAAGAACAGTAGGTCGGAGGAGAAGGAGGAGTTGGAGGAGGAGCAGCAGCAGCAGCAGCAGAAGACAAACTTACTCAGGCGTTTACGTGCTCGGCGTGTCTGATTTCCAGGCGGCAGCGGACAGCGGGACTCGCAATTCTATCCAGAATTTACCCCTGGTAGGGGCCAGGCGCGCCTGGGATTGGGATCGATAGAGCAGTCCAGAGGCGTCCCAGAACGCTCTCAAGCCGTTCTGGGCTGTGGCGCTCCATGCACTTCTGGACGCGCCAGCTCTCAGATATTCCCTTATCATCTCCATCTAAGTGTGTTAACATTTTGCCTTCGTCTCATCTGTGTTCCGATTTGGAGCGTAGATGTGTCCCGACTCCCGGCTCTTCTATAGTCATGTTTATTTTATGTCTTCTTCTTCTTCTTCGACAGCGACGGCGGCGGCACCAAAATCACCACAGCAGCGGTGTCGAATGTCCCAATCGAGTGATCGGGGGACCGATGAGGATGCCAATGAGATGAGTGGGATGGGGAGGGAGGAGGGAAGGATGGGACCGATGGGGAGGGAACCGATGGGACCGAAGGGGGAGGAGAGGGGCAGGGAGGAGGGACGAGGGAAGGATGGGACCGATGGGAGGAGTAGGGGGGAGGGAAGAATGAGGACCGATGAGACCGATGGGGAGGGAGGAGGGAAGGTTGGGGGGGGGGGCGAGAGGAGCGAGGAGGGAGGATGAGGGATACCAGGGGAAGGCATACCAGACAGAGCGAGGAAAAGGATGAGGAGCAGAAGGCTGAGGATCAGGAGGAAGAGGAGGAAAGTCGGGTAGAGGAGGAGAAGGAGTAGGAGGAGGAACGAGGACGGAGGGAGAGGCCAAAGAGCAGCTGTCGTAGTGGGAACGTCATTCTCCAGGGGCGTTTGCTCAGGAAGCCTCTCGCGTCGGCGTGCTTGAAAAAAAGTCCCCGGGGACCGCATTAAAGCACGCCGACGTGAGAGAGATTCGTCCTCGCCAGGCGGCCTGGAGGCGTCGAAGGAGGAAGAGCTGCTCGCCGCGAGGCCCACCGCGCTGCACCGCGCCCTGCGTTTTGGGCGACTGGTGTGGGAAGACGGTTCCCATCCCAGATGCGGGCGTGAAGAGAATCTCCGCGCCTGGTTGCGAAGACGTCGCTTCTGCAACGTGAAGATGCAAAAGAGATGGTTCCTGCAAGTGTGTTTTGAGCACAACAGACCCACCGCAGGACAACTCAAGGGTTCCACCGCGTGGGCAGACGTCAAGCGCGTGGGCGAAAGCAGGTGGCGCCGGAGTCGCGGATGACGGCCGCGAAAGCGACCGCGAGGGCGACGACGACGACCCCATGTCGTCTCCTCTGCGCAGCGGCGCGCATGAGAAAGGCTCGAGACGGAAACGCGACCAGTCGCCTGGAACCCCAAACATTCGCGACAAGAAGAAGCAACCCGCAGGCTTTGGAAATGAAAAGGGCCACTTATGTGACAGATCTGCTGCCACCGTGCTTCCCATCGGTGTTCCTGCGTTGGGCCGATGGAAATTCCCTTCGGACGCGGCCACGCGATCTGTGCGCGCGGCCAGTTTCAGGCGCAGGATGTTGTGTCTTGATGCTGCTGACCTGGGTCGGCTGCTCCAAATGATCGCGGGTGAGTTGAGCGTCGGCGGCGTCCCGAACCTCATCGACGGAGACCGCGACGAGGCGCAGTCGCACGGTCGGTTCAGGCAGCCGCAGTCGCGGCCGCGGCCGACCAGACAGACAGCCTGCTGGAGGTTCCAGCGGAAATGGCCCAGGGAAGCGGCGTCGGGTTCAGCATCGCGCGGGACTTCAAGGGCGCTGGGGTCGCAACCGCTACGCGCGACGGTCCGACAAAGGGCAGCGCCATCGAGGCGGAGGTGAAGAGGCTGACACAGAAGGAATGGGACGATCATACGCACGCGCGGGCCAGCATTACACGCGATCAGAAGAGACAGGCGGCGATGGACTACCTGGAACTGCGCGGGCCCCCTGGGAGACCGCGGGCGGCGCGCCCAGGACAGATGGCATGGCGATGAATTGTTCGGCCTCCCCGTGGAACACCGCGTCGCCCAAGGCCTGGGCGTCTTACGCGAGGGCATCGGCGGGATCCTCGCGCAACAGAAGCTCGACACGTTCCCGACGTTCGACTACCAGAACGGGCCTGGGAAGCCTTTGGAAACATACCTGCCCAAGAACTTTGCCCAGGAGGACAAGTTGCGCCCTTTCCAGACGCCATCTGCAGAATCGCGGAGCTCGGTAGAAAGATAGGGTGGATCAGATATATGCCGAAGTCGCAGCGGTTGGGCTCAGAAGTAGAACAGCGGTCACCCCGCACATTCAAAACCCGACCGAAAAAATTGAACGTCGACATCTGGAAGGGTTCCCAAGGAAAGGCACGTAACGGAGCGCAGTTCCCATTGCTTGGTGCACACACACACAACCAGCCCCGCGGGTCGGCAGAGAAACAAGCGGAGAGGCCCATGACGCGGCGCCACAAACAAGAGAGGGAGGAGGGCGACGGCAAAGGCGACAAAGCGAACGGCGGCCCTCAGAAGGGGGGCCAGCGCGGCACCCGGCCCAAGGGCGACCAGCCCAAGGGCGACCAAGGCAAGGGCAAGGGCGGCCACGGCTGGGGCCACCACGTCGACATGGGTATGGGCGACCATGAGCGACCGCAGCGACCACCTCTCCAAGCTCCAGCTCGTGGCCCTGATGCCGCAGTAGCGGCTCACGAGGAGCGCCGCGGCAGCTGGCCAAGGAGCAGTTGGCAGGACTGGGGGTCATGGGATCCGAAATGGGGCTGGGGTTCCTGGGGTTCCTGGGATGCGGGATGGGCCCCAGGTGGTCGCGAGATCAGGGCGCCGCAGTCGCGGCCTGGCGACCGCGAGCAGGCGGCCGACGACAGTATATGGGCTCCGTCGGGTCCGTCGGCCACGGCGTCGGGCAGTTGGTCGGCTCCGTCGGCCGCGGCGTTGGCTCAGCCGCCCGTTCCGTTGGGCTGCGCGCGCAGCTACTGGGCGCCGCCTCAATAAAGCCGCATTTGTGGCCTCGCAGCGGACAAAATCGCCGTCGTTGCTGTCGCATCTCAACACTTGTGTTCTTTAAGACAGTCCCAGGGGACTGTTTCCGCTAAGTCTCTAAGTTTCTTTATCAGGGCCGTCGGATTAGGTTCGATGCGTTTGTCGGGACACTGATGCGCTAATCGCTGGGAGCATGTCTAAAACAAATGTTCGCACGTACTACACATGCGTTCCCGAATATTACAGGCCGGCGCGGGGCTCTGCCGCTCTGCGCCTGGGGCGGTCTTGGGGCGATCCTGCCCCCGAGACAGACTGGCCCAGTGCTGGCCTGGGCCGCTGGATCGGAACACATGGAAGTGCCCGCTCGCCTTGGTTTCAACGCATGCCGGCGAAAAACGCCTGAGATAACGAGCCGCCCGCGCACAATCGTTCCCAGTGGTTCTTAGCGCCGCCGCAAAACAGCGCCCAAATAGCGTCTCAGCCACTAGCGCTCAATAGGGCCATATGAGAGCGATGCACTGTGTCTGCTTCGTGCGCGATTGAGCACGCTGTTGGGCGCCATGGGGACGAGCGCCAACTTCCGCGAAACCTCGCGTGTGTGGTAACGCCCCAAGCATCGAGGAAGTCGGAGCTCCTCGCCGCATATGTATAACATGTCGGAGCTCCTCGCCGCAACCCTCGCCCTCGCCCGATCCCTATAAAAGTCCTTCGCCCTCGCCAGTGCATCTTCGCCGCAGCGTCCCCCCCCTGCCCCCGCCCCCGCCCCTACAACTCCGGCACCCGATCTCTCCTCTCTCCCCGACTCTGGCTTCGACCCGACTCCAGCCCCCTGTCTGCTTGCAGCGCCTGCGCCGTCCTTGCCGCAGGGTCCTCCCTTCTGCCCCTGCCCCTGCCCCTGCGGTTCCCGCGAGGGCGGGGGGGGTCCACGCCAGCCGCCGCGGATGGGCGGCGCGTGAGGCCGCGAGATGCTCGCGCAGGTGCCCACCCCCCGCCTCCGCCCCGCGCCGCCGTTGCACTTTCCTCCTGCGGCCGCTATGGGATGGGTCCCGGGCTTCGCGGGCGAAGCACACGTCCGTATCCGCGGGCTCGTCAGTTTAGCCCCCCAAGGCGCGACCCCGCGGTTATGGAGCCTTTTTTCACGGATGCCCCGCGCGGAACGCACCCGTGCGATCGCGGATCCGCGGGGCCGCGCCCAGAATCCAGACCGCGAGGGTCGCGGATCCGCGGGGTCGCGCCCCAGGATCCAGACCGCGAGGGCGCGGCTACGGATATGCGCGCCGCTCGTGAGGGTTGGAGCCGGCAGAGGGTCTGAGGGGTGCCCCAGCATTGGGTCTGGCCAGCAGGAGGGGGGGGGGGGGGGGGGGCAGTCTCGAAGTTCTGGGTTAGGGAAGGTGTTTTGCTCGGGTGCACGTAGGAGCGACCTTTCGCCGTGTGGCCTCTGGCGCGGGCCCGCTGGGACCCCCCCGGTCCGTGCATGCGGGGCGATCGCAGCAGCCTGCGCGCTCGGGCCTGCCTCCGCCGCGCCAACCCGAAAGCCGCGCACCAAAGGTCACTCCTTCGGCATCTTTCGACCAATCCCCATCCCCGTCCTCATCCCCTTCGAGACCCCCACCAAATTACCACCCCAGTCGGGGATACACCCCTCGAAACCCGAAGGGAATGGCCTATATCCCCATCTGCGGGGGTGAATCGGCCAGTGGGGCCCAGGCCACGCCGCCGGGGATGGGGATCGGTTAAACGATACTCCATGCCTATATGGGGTCACTCTTACGTGTCGCCGACTTGCGTTTCTCGGCCTATGGGGGCCGTGCTCGAGCTCCGGGGCCCTCGAACACGGGCCCGAAGCCCAAGTCAAGACGCGCGCCCGAGGATTCCGTGAGGTGTGTGTGTGTGTGTGTTTGTGTGTGTGTGTTTGAGTGTGTTTGTGTGTATGTGTGTGTTTGTCAGTGTGTGTGCGTGTGTTTGTCAGTGTTTGTATGTGTGTGCGTGTTTGTGTGTGGACGCATCCGCTGGGACCCTAGATGGAGCTCCATCTGGTACGGTCGGACCGAGGTATAAGATCGAGGTCGGTTCCAGGAGGGTACCCTAATATTCGTCGTGTTTGTCGGATGTTATTGTGCATCCTGGGGGAGGGCACCCTCAAATGATCGTTCGGTTTCGGGTGTTTTCGCTGGCGGAGGGTCTCGGGATGTTATTATGTTTTGGTTCCGACCGTCAGGAGTGTGCAAAAGAGGTCGGGTGATCGCATGTGGACGCTCTCACTGGGGCCTTAGCGGTGGGGCGCCTCATGGAGCCACGAAACGTGTTACACGAACCGTATGAGGTGTGTACCGAAGTGGTCGGGCGGCCGCATCTGGATGCACTCACAGCGGCTTGTAGGTGGGGCTACCTAGCCACGAAGCGTATGAGGGGTGTGTCGAGATTGGCGCGCGTCTGTATGTGGACGCGCCCATTGGGACCTTAAGTGAAGTGCCCTATGGGGCCACGGAACGTGTTCGGGGTGTGCCAAAAAGTGTCAGTTGCCTTATGTGGGCGCACCCATTGCGGCCTTTGGTGGATCTCCCAATGGGGCCCCGAGACGTATGAGGGGTGTTGCCAAGAGTGGTGACCGGCCACATGTGGACGCTCCCTTTGGGCCTTCTGTGGACGAACCCATTGGGGCCTCATGAGAAGCTCCCTACGGGGCCGCGAAACGTATCAGGTGTGTGCCGAAATGTGGCGGCCTCAAGTGGTCGTTCCAATTTGGAGCCTCCTGAGGTGGAGCTCCTTCAAAGGTGTTGGTGGCCGTATGTGGATGCACCCATTGGGGCCTTTGGTGGAGCTTCCAATGTGGGAAAGGAACGTGCGCGGGGAGTGCCAAAAGGTGTGGGTTGCCGCATGTGGACGCACCCATTGCGGCCTTAGGTGGAGCTCCCAATGGGGCCACGAGACGTATGAGTGGTGTGCCAAGAGTGGTGGCCGGCCACATGTGGTCGCTCCCATTGAGGCCTTCTGAGGCGGAGTTCCCTATGGGACCACGAAACGTATAAGGAGTGTGCAGAAATGGGGCGGTCGAATGTGGACGAACCCATTGGGGGCCTCATGAGGAGCTCCCTACGGGGCCGCGAAACGTATCAGGTGTGTGCCGAAATGGGGCGGCCTCAAGTGGTCGTTCCAATTTGGAGCCTCCTGAGGTGGAGCTCCTTCAAAGGTGTTGTGGCCGTATGTGGATGCACCCATTGGGGCCTTTGGTGGAGCTTCCAATGTGGGAAAGGAACGTGCGCGGGGAGTGCCAAAAGGTGTGGGTTGCCGCATGTGGACGCACCCATTGCGGCCTTAGGTGGAGCTCCCAATGGGGCCACGAGACGTATGAGTGGTGTGCCAAGAGTGGTGGCCGGCCACATGTGGTCGCTCCCATTGAGGCCTTCTGAGGCGGAGTTCCCTATGGGACCACGAAACGTATAAGGAGTGTGCAGAAATGGGGCGGTCGAATGTGGACGAACCCATTGGGGGCCTCATGAGGAGCTCCCTACGGAGCCGCGAAACGTATGAGGGGGGGTGCCGAAATTTGGCGGCCTCAAGCGGACGTTTCAATTCGGAGCCTTCTGAGGTGGAGCTCCTCATGGGGCGGCCGTATGTGGACGCACCCATTGGCGCATGGGGTCTATGGTGGAGCTCCCCATGTGGCAACGACGGGTACGAGGGGTTACCGAAGTGGTCCGGTGGCCGCATGTGCGAGCACCTACAGGGGCTTTTAGGGGGGCTGCCTATGGGACCACGAAGTGTGTGAGGGATGTGCCGAAGAAGGTGGGAGAAGCAGGGATGGGAGGATAAAGCAGATCAGACGCGGGGCACTGTGGATTCAAGACGAGGATCCAACATCACATGATGGTTGGGAAACATTGAGCTTGCGAAGAGACTCGCCGATCTAATCCACAACGATCGTGGTCTCCTGTGTGATTGGCAGCTTCTCCATTTCGCTAGCTGTGCAGCAAGTAAGTAACCTTGGGCTGCAATTTAAAGCTCCCCTTTTTCGGCGAAACTGCTTCTGGATTAATCTACGCTGAGAGGTATGCTCGTTCCAACATTTGCGCGCCCGCACGCTGTATCAGCTCCGCTTGTTCCCTTCTGTGTGTAGGGTATTGAGCACGGACTTGGCCCCTGACACCCGTATCCAATCCTTTGGTAAGAAAGACTGAGCGCGCGACGATATTGTATGATAATTCAGACCCGTTTTGCGTACGCCACATTAGCAGCACGAGATAACAACCACCACGTTAGCAGACAAGGCGAGGAGGTCGACTCCCGCCACGCTAACTATCGTTGCTGGTTCGTGCTCGCCGTTCGTGATTCCTGCTCTCCTCTTTTCGCAGCACGTGAGCACTTCTCACCACAATCGTCCGCATTATCATGTCCAGCTTGGCGGGTATCGCCACTAGTACCACCATCACGAAACCCTGACTTTGACATCGACCGCCGACAACCTGGCGCAAGGCCGCCTGTGTTCTGCATTCCGCGCGAGCGGGCGGCCCTTTCCCGCCCCTGCGATGGAGGTCCTGGAGTTCCGAAGCGTCCGTGCAGTGGAGGCAGTTACCGTCGTGCTCTGCGCTTCCGCGACGCTGGGGCGCCCGATCCTGCGACTGTGCCGCGAGGAGCGCGCGCTGCCATCCGTGCGCGATTGCTCGGGTCGTTTATTCGAATTCTCGAAGGCCGTGAGGACGTTCGTTCTGTGCGGCTGTGATGCGCAAGACCCCGTTTACATACACAAGCAGTCCATGAGGGTTGACATCTCTCGGCATTTTGCTCGGGTCATTTCTGTGGTCATGGTATGTTTCCTCTCATTGCAGGCAATGGTTGGAGACAACAATGAGCTTATCCTACCGTTACGTTTGTACGCATGTCTATTTTGCATTGTGTGCACGATCTTGCGCTTGTTCCCAGGGCTGGTTACCCCGGTGACAGTGCACCTCTGGTATTCGGTTGTGTTGATTGCGGCTGCGCTAAAGGTTTCACCGCTCTTTCAGTTCGCGGAGGCGGTGCCTGACCTCAGGTTGTTCATCATGTTTGATTGTATTGGCCTGGCCGTGATGAATATGTCCATGCCGATGAACTTTCTTTGGGCCTCCGTCCTGTACCTGAGCGCCACGCTCACGCTGCTGGTGGGGCCTCCGAGAGAGGCCACCGCCTTTGCCGCCGCCCCCCCCCTACCCCTCTGGTGGGATCCCTGGCCTGAGTCGGGCGCGTCCCTCTGCAGGGGGAGTATTCACAAGTAGTTAAGACTTGGTCTGTGGATAGATTCTTGTTTGACCATCTTTGACTAAATGTATATCTTTTTAACTATTCCTCATTTTTCCCAAACCCGCCTGTAGGAGAACACGCCCGGCCTAATCCTAGCCGATCCCGGGCTGAGCACTCGGGCTGAGCACGTTGTCTTGAGCTCTTAATGGGGCCCTCTTCGGGCCCCATGCCCCGAGGTCCTAGCGGTCCGAGAGTTGTTCCCCCTCCTCCTCCTCCTCCTCCTCCTCCTCCTCCTCCTCCTCCTCCTCGTCTCCTCCTCCTCCTCCTCCTCCTCCTCCTCCTCCTCCTCCTCCTTCTCTCCTTCTCCTCCTCCCTCCTTCTCCTTCCATTCCTCCCTCCCTCCCTTCCCCCCTCCTCCTCCTCCTCCTCCTCCTCCTCCTCCTCCTCCTCCTCCTTTCCCTCCTATTCCTCCTCTTACTCCTCCTCCTCCTCCTTCTCCTCCTCCTCTTCCTCCCTGTCGCCCGGCTTCGGGCTTCGGGATGGCGCAGAAAGATGGGATTGGGGGCTCTGACGTGATGCTTTGCAATGTGGTAATATGTTTGCAGTGTGTGATCCGAGGGCGGGACGCTTTCTAGCCCCTGGGTTGGGGCTGCTGGTTGACGGAGTGAGGTCTCGAAGATCTTGGGGGCCATATCAGAGCTTGTAGGGACTGGGGTGTGGCCCGTGTGGCCTCCCGGGGGGAATATACTGCGGGCTCGTGGGGCCATATTCGGGTTCTGTTGTGCGATACTTGGGGCATTCTGGAGCCTTGTGAGGGCACCGTTTGACAGGCTGTTGCCATCGAGAGGCCAAGCCGGGAGACAGGCCAAACACACTCAAATATCCATGCACCCAGACGGCAGTTTTGCAGAGCACCCGGGAGATCCTGGGCGGCCTTGGGCGGCCCTGGAGGCCCTGGGAAATTCCGGAAGGCTCTGGGAGGTCTTCAGAGGCAACGGGGAGCATCGCGAGGCCTTGGGATGCCATGAGAAGCATTGGGAGGCCCAGCCCGAAAGCACGCCGTCGGGTCGGGGAAACGTACGACTCGAGTATGCCGGAACTCAGGTTTCCCTTCGCTTTTTGATGAGCGTGTTCTTGATTTTGACGGTCCAGTTTCCGTGGGATGTTTGCAGCGGGAGTTCGCGTCAAATTTCAGATTGGGTCTCGTCATTTTTGTGAGGGCCCCGTCAGGCCAACCCGAGTCCACCGTACCCGAGTTTTGATCGACTCCCCGATCGGGGTGATGCGCCACGCGTTTAGCAACAACGGTCGGCCCGCTCCTGGGCAGGTGCTCCGAACCTTGTGGCCTGTTGGAGAGGTCCTCCGTGGTAGCCAACATGCATGACACACGACCGCATCTGGGCTCCACGGCAGTCAGTTTGCAGGCGCCGTTGACATGCTCATGTTAATTACGCCATGGAGCCATGGAGTCTCGTGTTCGTAGTTCTGTGGCCCCTCAAGGGGACGGCGGATTCCAACGGCAATCCTTGCTTCGACTTCGTCCAAACTTTGGAAATGATTGGCTTCGACTGGATCTTTGTAAGTGTATACTTGGTCAGTGTGCACATCGTTTTCTCAAAGGCGGCCGCTTTCCATCTCGAAAGCACCCACTCTAAGAACGAGCTGCGGGCCGCCAGGGCTATACTGGCAGGCATCTGTGACGCCGTAGTGGAGCTCGGTCCTGATTTGAAGCTGGCGCACTGTTCGGAGAGTCTCGCTGCGCTGTTGATGATCAACCCGCTACGAAACAAGACTGGGGCGAGCATGCTAGCTATTCTTGCCACGGAAGCCGATCGCGAGAAGTTCTCTCAAGAGGTAGCAGGCCCCAGAAATCTCTGAACGGCAGATCCGTGTCGTGTCGCCGCGGTGACGACTCCGGTTCGTGCGCTCAAGGTAGAGCACCGAAAAGGGCCCCGAATCTGCCGAGCCGACATCGGAAGATCCCCGCGACCAGAAAGCCGCGATCGTTTCAGGTTCGAGGGGGAGGAAGAGGAGGAGGAGGAGGAGGCGGAGAAAGAGGAGGAGGAGGAGGAGGCGGAGGTGGAGCCGAAGAGGAGGCGGAGGCGGAGGAGGAGGAGGAGGAGGAGGAGGAGGAGGAGGAGGAGGCGGAGGCGGAGGCGGAGGCGGAGGAGGGGGAGGAGGCGGAGGAGGTGGAGGCGGAGGCGAAGGCGGAGGAGGAGGAGGAGGAGGAGGAGGAGGAGGAGTACGTCGTCACGTCACGGCACGACCTTCCGTAGTGATTGGGAGAATCGTTTCATGTCATGGTCTTCGTTGCTTCAGGTGACCTCCAGTACCTCGTCCGACAAGATTTGCAAGGCCTTCCACGTAAACATGCGGGACACGCGCGGCATTTTGGTGCACGTGGAGATGTTCTGTGTGCGTTTCGATTCGGGCGAGGGTAGGGAGTCATACCTTCTCGGTCTGCGGGAGTTCTGTGACACAGCTTCGCCCGGCGGTGCGCAGCAGCAGGAATTGCCCAGGTCGGTTTTGACGTCGGGTGTCCAGAGCAGTTTGCATTCGAGTGCCGAGGAGCGGTCGGGCCTCGGAACCTGGGAAGTCGAGTCCTCGCAATTGTCCACCGTGCCCCGAGCTTGCTGTTTGGTTTGACGCCTTGTCACCAAAGCTTACCCTGTTGGGATGCACAAGTGCCTTCGAGATGTTCATTGGTGGTTCATTTGCACATATGTGCGCCGTTGAGGATACTCTCCTGGGGTGTACCCAGCCAGATCAGCAAGATGACTTTGAGTATTGGATTCGCCGCTGCCTGGACGAGTTCACTGCATCCGCTTGCAGGGGAGAGGCGATTCCATTGACTGTGGAGATGGTGCGTTTCCGCTTCAGCGAGCACCATCATCGTTTCCGCCTCGTCATCGAGAGCAGGGTGACGCTGGTCCCGGCCCCGACGGCTGGCGAGCCATGGCCCACGGGCCTCGGCCAGCCCCAGCGCGTGGCAAAGCTCGTCTTCGAGAGGCCCGAGTGGATCCAGGGGGAAGGTTCGGAGGCAAAATCCGAACCACCTTACCCTCGCCAGTCAACGAGTCAGGCAACTCGACGGACGGCGGGGGTAGGTTTCGGAATTCGTCGAACACGTAGCCAAACCTGCCTCCGCCTCCAGTCGACTCAGGGGAACCGATGGTTGGTGGGGATACTCCAACATTCTTGATAGGTCGCTTAGTCTGTTCCATGGGGCTGTTGTTGACGTCGCCACCGCCAATTCAAACAGCGCGAACAATTGTTTTCGCAATTGAGCGATTATCATGGTAGCCCCTTGGCAAATCTCGATCGCGCACCGAGTGGACCCAGTGGTTCACCAGAGGCGCCGTTGTCAACAGAAAGATCACACCGTTCGATATTCCGCTTTCACGGCATTATGTGGCAGCATCGCCGGCAGATATCAGTTTGTTGGAAATGTTGTTTTACAGTTTTGCCAAGTGTTCGATTGCAGCAGACTGCCTAGGACCCAGACCTCCGACGCGCTGGGCCCCCTGCTTGTGGCGTTTTCTCTGGTCTTCCTGACAGGGCAGGGCTCTGATGCCGCCACCCCAAGAGGTTGGAGCCGGCTCCGGCGCGCCCGCGCGCCCGTGCCCGCCGTCGCCCAGGCGCCGGCTTACTCGGGCCAGAAAGCGGTATACGGGAATCGGGAGCCCCCAGGAGCGTGGCTTGCTTGGGGCACCGTGGGCATTCTGGCACACGGCCTCCCCTCCTCCGTCCCCCCCCTATCACGTGACGCCCCTCCCCCCCAGTGCGCTCCCGGCGCTGCCGCCGTGCGCACGGCGAGGGGGAGGTGTTACGTTACACCCCCCGCCTAGAATGCCCATTATCGCAGAAAGCAAAGAAACGCGCTCCAAACCAGGTGTAGAGACATCAGGTGGTGACCCAAAAAGTCACCGCCACGTTTTGGAACACGGGGTCGCCGCCGGGTTTTGTGACTCCTGGGCCCACCAGCGTTCGGGACATCCCCGAAGAGCCACACGAGTCCCCAAACCGGGTAGTGACACCGAATCGCCGGGTGATGTCACCACCACGTTTGTGGAGTACCAGGGGAAGGACGGAGCCGATTTTTTATATTCAGAGAAGGGAGAAGGTACCCATACCTCTACCCTCCGTCCGTTTTTCCCCTTTTGGGGCCTCCTCGGAAGCCCTCGTCGCCACCGCTGGATTCGCATCAACATCTTGGTCAGAACGTACCCTGGGAGAGGTCCGGGGAGTAGCGGTATCGGTACTTGTTGGTTCCGCCAATTCAGGCTCCCCCCCTCGCCCCTCTCCAACGAATAATAGCGTGCAATGGGTTTTCGACTTGCGTGATTTTTGTCCATGCATGTCGTTTGCGGCTTGCTTCAGGATCAGCTCCCCCTGTTCAAGCAAGTAACCTTGCCGGAGCCTGAAACAAAAACAGGCTCAAGGGCCAAGCAACGGTCGCCGTGGGGGAAGCGGGTCCTGAGGGAACGGGGTCCTGATGTTGTTCGCCGTTTTTCCGGGCTCTCATAGCCCTCCGCGGGCCCCGGGACCGTCACAAAACGGCTCAGGAGGGGGATATTGTCTTGGGGGGGGGAGGAGGAAGAGGAGGAGGAGGAGGAGGAGGAGGAGAGGAGGAGGAGGAGAGGGCGGAGGAGGAGGAGGGGAGGAGGAGGAGGAGGAGGAGGAGGAGGAGGAGGAGGAGAAGGAGGAGGAGGAGGAGGAGGAGGAGGAGGAGGAGGAAGCAGGAGGATAAGGAGGAGGAGGAGGAGGAGGAGGAGGAGGAGGAGGAGGAGGGGGAGGAGGGCCCCAGAGCCAGCCTGCGTCCGGGCACCAGCACGAGCGAGGGGGGTACAGAACAGGTGGGTCGAGCAGTGGCGGGGCGTCTTGGCCTGCCTAATGCCCAGACCTCCGGGTCATGACAGCAAAAACTCGACGGGAGGTATTTCGCTCCGTGAGGGCTCTGGTCGGGGGCGGAAACGAGGGGGGTGATGACTAGGGGGGGGTGGCTATCATGGCGGGGGCCATGATATTTCCCCAGATTTTATGGCGCCTCTTCTTATTTCATTACGTCCTTGGCCCCCCCGCTGGGCCGCGCACATGCCGCCGGTCATGATTTGCACCCCCCCCTCTTGGACACCCCCCTCTTTGCCGCCCCCGATCTAGGGGCCGGGCCCTTGCCGGGCCTCGGGATCGTAAGAAACGGTTCGGGATGACAATCCAGTCCCGGGGAGTGGGTCGAGACCTCCAGGGTCGACGCAGTGGAAAGATTGCTTCGGGCGTTTTTGAAATGAGCGTGGGGGGGTACCCCCCGACGGGGGTCAACCTCGCCTCGTCGTCGCGCCGCGACGGGGGTCGGAGCGCCGTCGACGCGCGGTGGCTGCCCGCGACGAGGGCCGATGTGGGGCAGTCGGCGGGGGTGACGCCCCCCAGACGTTTGTCAAGAAACTCGGGGTCGGCTTTCCTCAGGAGGGAAAGAGACACACAGACACAATTAATCGTAGATTCCCCAGAAAATATGGGAAAATATGGGAAGTGGGGGGGAAGACAAAAATCCAGAAAATATGGGAAAATATGGGACATATGTTTATTTGTATGTATTTATTGGTGTGTCCTGGGGCCTTTTCATTTCCACTCACTGCGTCGCCTCCGAGGATCGAAGGCGTTGCCATCACTTCCCCGGCGGACGGCGGCGGGAGCTCGCGGAAGGAAAGCGATGCCGTTTCTGCCGGCGGGGGCCGGCGGAAGGCTGGCAGGAGGCGGCGGAAGTAGAAGACGCGTTGATGGGCCAGCTTTCCACCACCACGACCATAGGTAGGAGGGGGAGCGGGGAGGATGAGGTCTTCCTCCTCCGCCTCCTCCTCCCCCTCCTCCTCCTCTTCCTTTGGATTCATGGCTCCTAGAATTGTCCATGTGTCTACCAAATTATGTTCTACGATCCACTTGAGGCTTGCACGGAGGATTATCAGAAAGGTTCTGGTTGAGTCCGCGTTGTTTTGTTACACCCGCTGCATCTTCCTAAATCATCGCCTTTCATATTACAACGCTCTTTCGTACTAAGTTCATTGCTTGGTAGGTCTAGAGGAATACTGGATGGTCGGTCCCTGCACAACCAGAGAGTGAATTCCAGATTTCACCATAAACGGTCGGTGGTCCGATTCTTTGGCAGGTCTGATTTGACCTTTCTGAGAGGATCCCGGGAGGATTTGGGCAAAGGGACCGCCCTTGCAAGATTGGCTTGGGCGGTTCTACGATTGCTCGTCTGGGAGTCGTTCGGTAGCAGATCATGGGATCCTCGTATACACTCCCAGCTCCGTCTCTAGAGTGTACTAGCTTTGAGCAGCGCTTCGTAATTGGTGTGGTAGAGCCGATTTAGGGTCGATCAGCGTCAACGGAGCGCCGATTAGTGCCTGTATGCATCGAATCGAGCGGCGTCGATTCGCAAGAGCCAGTATGATAGTATGGGAGGCTCCCATGCTTTGCCGCAGAAGGTCTCGCAGAACATTGCCAGTGCCCGATCCCTGGGGCACCCGTGGGGCCGTTTCGAAACGAGGGGGCTTGCGGAGATACCCTCCTTGGGAAGGGGCTACTCGAACGCCCCCGAGTTGGGTCTCGAATGCTCTGCCCAAGCGAAACCCTGCACCAAGGCGGGGGTTGGGTAGTCATTCCTGGACAGGCGCGCTGTCGGTGTCGCAGGGGACGCTGTCAATCCGAGGCCGAACCCTCAGATCTTACGCTGCGACAAAGAAAGCAGCATCGCAGGATAGCGACTCCGGAGCCCCATGGTCCCGCCTGCCTGCGTCGTTTTATGCGAGCCAGATCGCTCTGTGAGGGTCCTGGGGTCTAGAAATCTTGGCGCAGACGCCCATTGTGACAACTTTTCGCCGCCAGGATCTAAGGGGATACTAGGGGGCCACATGCGAACACTACCCATACCCCCACGATTTCTTGGGGGAGGGTGGGGTAGGGTTCGCATGTGGCCCCCTAGATGTCCATCCGAGGCAGATGGTCGCCAGCCCAGCAGCGGCTGGTGCATGCTTTTGTGGGCAGCATCTGCTGCCGGAGGAGGAGGGCCAGGAGGAGGGGGAGGAGGAGGGGGAGGAGGAGGAGGAGGAGGAGGAGGAGGAGGAGGAGGAGGAAGGAGGAGATAGAGGAGAAGGAGGAGGAGGAGGAGAGGAGGAGGAGGAGGAGGAGAGGAGGAAGAGGACGAGGGTGGGGGAGGAGGAAGAGGAGGAGGAGGAGGAGAAAGCAGGAGGATAAAGAAGAGGAGGAGGGAGGAGGAGGAGGAGGAGGAGGAGGAGGAGGAGGAGGAGGAGCTGCTTTTCCGCACCCGCTTCGGGCGAGCCGACAGGGACCTGTGGGCGACACGTTCACGCCCCGGTTCGGCGGCGACGGCACGAGGGGCTTGGGCAGCGGTGGGCCAGATTACCTCATTGCGCTCTGACCTGCAGGTGTGGTCTGCACGTTCCGAAGCAGTGACGAATGCGTGCACATAACCTTGCTGAGCTCCGCGCGGAGTTCTTGGATCGGCGCTGGAGTCAAGTCGGGCACGTCGCTCTACAGGAGGAATGTTCCAAAATAGCCCCCCAAAAAAATAGCATTGGGACGATGTTCCGACTATGTTCTATAATTGTTTGAATGCTTGTTTTATTATTCTTCATTGTTCGTCCAAAATCCGCCTGAAGGGGGACACGCCCGACTTATACATAACCTTTCAGACCTCTGCGCGGAGTTCTTGGATCGGCGCTGGAGCCCCCTGGCGGCGTCTCCGGCGCTGCTCCTGGCGCGCTCCGCGCGCCGGGGAGGGGGGGTCCAGCGCCGATGCAAGAAGTCCGTGCGGACGTCCGGAAATTTTTGTTTATGCCGTTTTTCGCCCCTGGCGTAGGAGCGAGACCACGCCAGCCCCCACTCTTGTGAAGGCCTTACGGCCCGTGCCGCCGACCCAGAAGGACGACGACGAACACGACGACAACGACTACGAAAACGACGAGCTGATCACCCTGCCACAGGCTCGGGACATAGGGCGGGCGGTGGAGGGAGGAGGAGGAGGCGGTGGAGGAGGAGGAGGGGGAGGAGGAGGAGGAGGAGGAGGAGGAGGAGGAGGAGGAGGAGGAGGAGGAGGAGGAGGACGAGCAGGAGGAGGAGGAGGAGGAGGAGGAGGAGAGCGGTCTGTCCTCTCGCGGGCGGGCCAGGGGCGCGGGGGCCGAAGCTGGGCAGGGGATTGGTGCAGGCCGGGACTAGGTCCGGAGCTGGGAGTTGGGCATGGGACCGCGCCAGGACTGGGCCAGTGGGGCCGGGGTTGGGGGCGGCTGGGGCTGGACAGGGACGGAGCCGGGGCCGAGGCGGGGGGAGGGATCCTGAGCTCCACTGCAGGGAAAGGGGCTTCCCTATGACGTCATTCCGACGTCGTTCTTGCGATCGTCGCTCTGCTTTGCTCTTGGTTAACCCGGAGAAGCAATTAATACCCCCCCCCTCTCTGGCGAAGGTATGACGCACCCGGCACCCCAGAAACTTTACCCTGGCACCCCTCACCTTTATGTGAACGCAGACGAGTCTGCTCGCCGAAACAAGCACACCACCTGAGACATTCTCGCAATAGTTTGGCTCTTATTCGCCATTACGGATCAGCCGAGGGCCAAGGCCTCAGTCAAGAGGCCTTGGCCCAGCTAAACATAACAAATCCTCCTCCTCCTCCTCAAGACTTCCCTTACGGCACGGCACCTCTACGAACAACGACAACAATAATGCCAGCAATAAGACTTATATCTAGAACAACAAGGCCAATAACACCACCAACAACAACAACAACAACAACAACATCAAAAGCGCCAACAACGCCAACACCAACAATGACAACATTATGTCCCACGCAAGGGAGAGCCCAGCTTTGAAAAGGAACCGTCCGTGCCTACGATGGGGATCGAATCTGTTGGGCGGTGCGGGTGCTAAGATATCGCGCCGTGCGTGGCGAGGGCGATATCTTCGGATGCACTACCCCACACGACGGCCGAGAAACACACATGTTTCAACAGGGGTGGTAATACAAATCGGATAGGACAAGGATGGTGAAGATAATGAGGCCAAGATCTTTCTCTTATTATTGTGACGAGTAGTTGTTTACTTACTTGTGTTACTCTTACTGTTATTATAATCGTGATGGTTATCCTTAGTCTTCTGATTCTTCGATTGATGCTTAGTCTGGTTATTTCTCTTAGTATTACCAGTTTTCATTCGAGATATGATTCGTATCGTTGTTGTTATTGTTACTCTGACTCGTAATATTGCTCTTATCAGCATTGTTACTTCTACTTGTCCAGTGTTGTTATTTTTATTATGAGTGGTATGACCATTGGTTTTTTATTAACATGTTGCATTACTCTTATTTTCATTATCAATATTCCTATTCATATTCTTGTTCGTAATATTAGTATGCTTAATATTAGTTCGTATTAGTATTACCCTTAATATTACTCTTATTCATGTTATTACTCCTACTCTTGTCCTTATTGTTATTATTAGGTTTCTTGGTACTATCATTGTTATCATGCTTCTCATGTGTTAGTATTATGATGTTTCGTAGTCTCATTCTCAGTTGTATTCGTATTACGATTACTGGTCTTAGTGTACGTCTTGTCTTGTTTGACAAACTGTCGTAATTAGTTTGTGCGAGTGCGGTGCTATGATAACGCGCCGTGCTTGGCGGGACGGTATCCTCGGATGCACGACCCCACACGACGGCCAGGAAACACATGGTTTCAACAGGGGTGGTACGTAGGACAAGGATGGTGAAGATAATGAGAAAGACTCGTGTTCTTATTATGAGTCTGATGTTGTGTATGGTTGTCATTATTATTATGTTGATGTTTCTCGTTCTTATCCGTATTAGTATTCGGATTCTGATTGTTTGTCATAGCGCCATTAACATTCGTATTCTTAATACTACTCTTGTTATTCGTATCGTCACTCTTACTCTTATCTTTAGTACTATTGCTTGTCTTACTACGTATTCGTATTATTGGGATTCTCAGTATTAATCAGATTACCCGTATGTCAGTATGTTTCGTTGCTCTTTTTCGGATTGCACTTGGGGTATCCCCCGAGCCAGGGCGCGGGATTTCTTTGTATGTTCGTTTTCTTTGCGTGGTGCGAACTATATCGTTCGGCGAAAACCGCCCCCCCAGAATTATTTAATTACGGTGCAGTGCTGATGAGAACCTTGGGGGGGGGGGGGGGGCGGTCCTTCAAAGGTTGATGAGGTTAGCGCGGTACTCTGTATGTTAGCGATTGCTTAGTAGCTTAGTTAATTGATTGGGCTACTACATCTGTTAGCTTATCTTACTTATGCTATCTAGGTTAGCCTAGTCAGGCTATCCACTTAGCCCACTTAGGCTAACCAGGGTAGCGAGTTGCCGCTAACCTACTTGGCTGCCCTCTCGGGCTCTGCGGTTGGACGGCTGGGTTTGAGAGTTTGAGGGGATTGTGTTGGGGTTGGAGGGGCTCGAGGTTTGAGGAGGGGGCTCGAGGGGAGGGTTGGAAGGGTTAGGACGTTGTGTGTTGGGCTCGAGGGTTGCACAGGGGGAGGGGGGGCTCGAGGGTTGGAGGGGTTGGAGAGGTTTGACGGGTTGGACAGTTGGACACTTGGAACCGCTCGAGGGGTGGAGGGGCTAGTAAGGTTGGATGGGGCTCGACGTTTGAATGGGAGGTGCACAAGGGCTGAGGGGGTTACAGAATTTCAAGGCTGGAGGGTTGGATAGGGGTTGGATGGATTGGATGAGTTGGAGGTGTTTTTGATGGCGTGGAGCAGAGTTGGAGGGATTGGAGGGGTTGGAGGCGGTTGTGGATTGGGAGGGTCACGAGTTCGCAACAGCTTGCGCTGCCAGCAAGCAGGCTCGCCCCACACGGTGGGGAAGAGGGGGCACGACGTGGGAGGAGGGGTCCATGTTTGTTCTGACCTGATGTTATTGCAGATGTTGTTGTTGCGGAGAAGGAAGAGGACGCTGCGGAATGATGACGGTGATATTATTGATGATGGTGGTGGTGATGATGATGGTGTTGATGATGTTGATGTTGATGGCGATGGTGATGGTGATGGTGATTATATCAATGTCGGTGACCGTGATAATAATGGTGACGATGCTGATGTTGATGATGATGTAGATGGTGATGCTGGCCATCACGACGAACATACTGAACATGATGGTGGTGCTGATGGTGATGATGATCATGATCATGTCGATGGGGATGGTGACGGTGATTCTGGTAATACTGGTGGCGGTGGTGATGCTGATGACGATGATGAGGATGATGATGATGTTGGTGATGATGATGGTGCGTTTGTTGATGATGCTAATGATGCCTGTGGTGATACTGATGCTACTGAGGATGACGA